TTGGGTGTCAAACAAGAGAGGTATAAGAAGATTATAGTTTGGAAATATTCTCAAGAGGGTTAAAAAACTTTAAAATCTCTTATGTTTTTTTGCAATCTAGTTTTATGTAATTATAAATAACTTAAATTTAAGTAAGAAATTTTTCCAAACCTCTTCTGAACGTCCCTAGAGGCAAAAAGTGGGAATGAGTCAGATAATCTTTCAAACAGTTTCGCAGCATACCTGCCGCCGAACTCATCACTTCTGTATTTTCTTCACTTGGAAATTTAACACCGCACGCACTCACTAAACGGCAATCAACATCGAAGTACAAATAAAAAAAATGCAAATTTTCTACTCATGAATTTCACCACAAAATCATCAATTACGCCTTAAAATTGCTCTACGATATCCCTATTTCCATCCAGCGCCGCCATTTTTACGTTGTAATTTTCGGAATTCGTTCTTTTTTTTCTTTGGAAAAAGCTCGAACATTTTCGTAATAAAGCACTTGGGTTGCTTGCATTATCCAACACACACACAAATACATATACTCGTACAAATGTGTGAATGTACATATATTTTCAAGCTAGCTGTTTAGTTGGTAAATGCAAAATAGGCACCACATGAAAATATGTTTTACGAGCTCCGGTACGTACAAGTCACGGAAATTCCGTGCATTGCATATTTGCACGTCAGCGCACAGTTGAATTCAGTTTGAAAACTTCTTTGGAAACACCAAATAGAAAGCCTTGCTTTTTCGAGCACAAATATCGGAGCGTATGTACATACATAGCTACGCCATGCCATCCAGCTAGCAGCACCTCACACTCGCCAAACGATTTTCTTGCCACCTCACTACCGTAAAACGAAAACTGCATGCCGGCTAAGTCCTACCAAATTTACATATGTATGTACATATGTATACCGTCTTACCTGTGTATGTAAATTTGTGCGCTCAGGTGCCACCGTCAGTATGGCGCGGCATTAATGTGCAGCAGGGATAATTTATTTTATCGCTTGCAACAAATCTAAATTGATCGTTAGGCTCCCTATACTAGAGCGAGAAACTCTGCCACCAACACCATCACAGCCACCACATGTGGTGCTTATTGTATTATTGCTGAATAACGGTATTTACTCAAATACTATACACATTAAATGTGTGATTCGTATAACGAAAATTAATTTGTGAAAACGAACAACGGTTTTTTTTTTCTTGCCGTGTTGTGTTGCTTTGTTGTGGTTTCTGTTTGTTTAGGTGGCTTTGTTTTCCATAAAACACTCTTTGCTTTCATCAATTTTATGACAAGCTTATTAAAATTTCCAAATTATGTAAAAGCCGAGGGCGAGCTATAAAAATAATGACGCATACTGACTATAATGACTGTAATAATAAAAAAATGTGTAGCAACTAAAATAGTTAAATATAAAAATAGACATTTCTGAAGTACTCTTGAATTTTCAAGTTTTACGAAGCCGCTTGATTTAATTCAACGCTTCTCAATTAACCCTTTTGAAACTACTATTAACATATGTAGGTCATAAGTATATGCGAACACGCCATCGTTTACACTTTCTAGTGCGAACGAAGTCAGAGGGATTTGATCTATATTAAAATATTTCGTACTATTTTGGCCTCCACTATGTTTTGACCCTAAGCTAGTGATACGTTTCAATGGGAGCGTACATAGTGATGAGCAGGGAACGGATTTTTAGGACCTAAAAGCCTATAAAAAAAGGCAAAATAAAATAACGAAATAGGCTGGAAAAGGCAAAATAAAATAGCGAAAAAGGCAGGAAAAGGCACTAGGTATTGCAAAAGAAGCAAAATAAGGCACTAAAAAAAGACAGAAAATACGAAGAGCAATCAAAAAATACATTTATTTTAGAAATGTTTATATTACAAGTAAAAAGAGAAAAACCATGAACTAGTTTCATTATATCAAAAATTTGTACTTTGAATCTTTGACTATTTTATCCTTTCGAGTTTCTAACTCATAAAACTTTAATCTGTATAGTTGTAGTAACATTGAACCACAAGATGCATTTTGACGTTTTCTGGCAGTATTTTCATTCGATTTTCGCGAAGAAAAGCCTTGAATGTACTAAATGTGCGCTCGACGTAAATTGATACAAGTGGAGCCCAATTTAAATATGGAACGTTTGGAACGTTCATATTATCAGGAATAAGGGCGTTTTCCTCGCCCTTTACAATTTTATCCACACCCTTTATTGTCTCCAAGCCTACGTCAGCTGAGAAAACGGCTTTGAATTTTTCCAACACCAATTTGGCAAAAGGTCCCTGCGCTTCTATAAGCCGCATAGGCATGTGCAAGGTGTATTAAACAAGGTGTGATTGACAACTCAGTGCGGCTCTCTTTTAAGGTACTATAGTGTCAAAAAGTATAAACAAACGAATTAACCCTTAGTGATGCATGTATCTTATCAGCATTGATGTCCTAGGCTTTTATTTCGATTATAGTTTTATTTTACTTACATTACTTACATCACATATATTTTGTCAATAAAATAAAACAAATAGTTTATAAAATCGTTTTATCAATTTTCTTGTTTTTAATTGTCCTAGTTTTATGCTTTTGCGCGTTTATTTTTATATTTCAATTTTTTATCCTAAGCATTATTCGACACTTATAAAAGTATGATTTTACATTTTTTACCAATTTTATATGTAGCTTAACTCAAACAATTTTGAAATTGAATTTTTTCATGTGAACTAGTTTTCCATTAAAGACCTTGCTTCGAGCGGATTTCATTTAAGCTCTTCCATACTTGCTTGCATGGTTTAATTATTTCGGTAAGCCGAAATATTTCTGTTCGCAACGTACATTCTAAAGAGTCGTCTGTTTGAGTTTGGGCAGCAAAAAAGAATGTATCCTGATCGTGTACTAAATCCTCACTTGTATCAGTTTATCCGTATGGCATTGGGACTGCGCATGGGTATGAACGAGCTCGTTGGAAAGTGTTTGATTTGCCACCACTTTCCTTGAAGTGGTTTTCACAAACGCGAGATGAATCACGTAGTACAACACCAAAGCTTTCTTCCCATCGCTGCCGTCTTAATTCGCAACTAGGTGGTTTAAAACATCGCACTATTTTCGTGTCCTGACTTTTATTACATCGTTTCATCTTGGTTCCCTTACATTAAATATTTAAGCAAGGTCGAACGTATTTACTTATTACCAAACTTAAATGTACTTACTTGCTCTTCTCGGCGGTTTATCTCTTAACAATTTCACGTTTATTAAGAAAATTTGCTTTGCTTGAAAAATTTGTGTGTATTTTTTTTAATTCAAATTTGAAAAAAACACATTTTCAAATGGGTTAACAATTCATTTCAATTTGACATTGTAGCCTGTTTCTTATGAGAGCAATGTCAAAATCAATCACACTTTGTTGAATACATTTTGGGCATGTGTATATTTTTTAATCTTTAAAAAAAAATGTAAATGCTATAATCACTTTTTTAAAGGTAGAAAAGGCAAAAAAAGGCAACATCAAATGTGTATATATGGAATCAGGGAAAGCTAAATCGTGGACATTCTTAATCGTATATACTCTACTTCTTTAGCAGAAAAAAAGACAATTGCCATAAAATCCGTTCCCTGGTGATGAGAAAAGCGAACATAGGTACACGTTTGTAATTGACGCCTTGCTCGATGCTATGCTCATCGCTCTGCTCGCCGCTCCACATTAATCTTTGAAGACTTCGCTTTAGTCTTTTTCATCAGTTAGATATAAGGTTTGTATAGTAACCAATAGTCAGTACTAATTTGTACGGGAACCTGCAAATTTTTACTGGAAAAGTGTATGATAACCCAAAAAATTTGCAAGAGTGCACTGAACAACTATTCACTTGCAAGTTTTTACTAGCTTTGTGTTCAATAACTTTATCTGCTAGTTTTCTCTTCTTCTAAATTTTTCGCTCTATTTAAGTTACTATACAAACCCAAATTGTGATAAACTTATGTATGTATATATATATATTTAAGTGGGCGGTATCACGCCCATTTTCCAAAATTCCATAATAATGATACTTCTTTTCAAGGGATTGTTGTTAGTATCAATTTTGGATGAAATTAGCGACCTTAAGTTTCAAGCATTTCTCGAATTTACCGTTATAGAGTGCGCATAATTTTAGTCCGATTTCAATAATTTTCAAAGTATTTTTTGCTAAAGAATTTTTGCAAACATCCATTTTGAATAAATTAGCTTCAGTATTTACTGATTTATCGAAGCTTTCGTATTTCTGTAAATTACCTTTATATGTGATGTGGGCGATTGTCCGATTTTTTTTTTAATTTTCAGCCATTTGGTACGTTTTGTCAAGACCAAAAACTGTGCCAAGTTTGAGAAAAAGTGGTTCCCAAGATATACATATGTAATCATAAGTGGGCGTGGCTACGCCCATTTTCCAAAAATTTACAATATTCTTATTTCTCGCCTAAAAATGATTGTAAATACCAATTTTCAGTTTATAAGCTTCAGTAGTTACTAAAATATATTCATATTTCTGAAAACAACCGTTATATGGGAGGTAGGCGTGGTTATCGTTCGATTTTGCGCATTTTCAATACAATCCATTCTACGCCGAAAAGAAGTATTCGTTAAGATATCTCAATTTTTACTCGAGTTATCGTGTGCACAGATGGGAAGACGTCATGCAGCCTACGTCAGCTGTCAAATTAATTTTGACAAGCAGTATGTGTGATAAACTTTCAAGAAAGTTATTGATCGGACAACGCACTGTTAAAGCCCCGAAAATGTATAAGCAGCAATGATGATACATGGGTCCCGATGATGTTTGCGTTCACTTGTGATGTGTGTATGAAAACTTAATTATGACTTGTTCACACTGTTGTCTAAATCCGTGACAAAAATATAATTAAAAATATTATCTCGAGTATTCTTACGATTTTTCAGATGTATGAAATATGTAAATTTTTTATTTAAATATTCATTAATAAAATAATATTTTTATAATAATTTGCAATTTTCAGCTACTGTTCTACATAATACTACCCACACTTCGCCCATGGCTGTCCAACAGAATTCCACACTCATTTATGATAATTTAGATGAGTGCCCTTCGTTGCTCAAAGAACCTGAAGAGCTAAGCCGTTACAGTCCTATATTACCATTGAAAAATCAGAATAATGCAGTCCAACAAAGCACACAGCCTTACGATGGCAAGGCTAACAATAACAATAACAACAAAAATAAAAACCAAAACTTCAATCCTAAAATTAAGGAGTTCCACAAATATCGCAAATACGCTAGTAATCGTTTACATCGGAATCACGCGCCGAGTACCTGTAGCGCTCAGAGCGGCCGAAGTCGTACGATCTCATTAAATGGTGCTAATAGTGCAGAGGTAAGAATCTCAAAAAAAATGTACATATGTAATATATCGAAAGTTTCCAAACTCAAAATTTCTTCGTTACATCTATGGAGCATTTTTGTTTGGAAAATTTTGCAACAACGAGATTTTTTCAGTGTACTCAACAAAAATGTTATATTGAGTTTTCACTGTACCAGTTTTATTCAAGCTTTCTTTACCTGAAAAACTTGTTTGCTTATCTCTCTCTCTGTTTCTCATTCACAGGAGCAAGGCCAAAAGGAGATACCCATATGGCTTGACGATGAACCACGTTACGTGTCCGGCGTAAATAGCCGCACCACCTGCAATGACATTATCAAAGCTTTGATTGATGACGAAATTCGTAATGGAGGCAATCACGATTATTGTGCCAATCGTGGCAAATGTAAGTCAAGACAACAAGAAACCAAACCATTTCTAGTAATATTTATTACAACACAGCGGTCTCAGAGGGCTGCGTGCGTACGATTGAGAGAAAAATAGAAGGCAGGGTAGTAGAAAAGGAGAGCGTATATTTCATTATCCACTATCTATCACTCCTTTACTCTTATACACAAAATATCCACCTACATACTTATAATGGTCCTATTATCTACAAATTTTTTTGATTTCAAAATGCAAATATTTACGTACTTCAACGGTTTACGTTGGCGTTTCATGATAGCTTGAAATTGAAAATGTAATACAAAAACTAAGTAAATAAATAACAACTATACAGTATTTATATACTAATTTCTATTGATTTCTTTTCATTTCGGCGCTCGTCTACAACAAACTCGCCGCCACCAAACACCCACTCAAACACCCACCCACCCATCCACCTATCCAATTCGGCATAACTCACTACCCCTGGCGTGACTTGACTGCGCGTCGGTGCTACCTACTTGCTGTTTTGCTGTTGTACACATGGACTACGCTTCCGGTACTTGCCTCGAACTATGGACTCACTTCCGTTACGTTGGCGGGGTCCTGCATGTTGCTTTACATGGCTTGACACCCGCGAATCGCATGCACTCACACACACACATACACACGCACAAACTCATGTGCATATTTTTATATAAAATATATGGCAAATAAAAATAACATGACTCGCTAACTATGTACAACAACAATAAAAACAATGTGCAAATAGTTGACGCAGCATCGCGTGACTACAACGATTACGTTATAACAGAAAGTTGGCGCGGTATCGAGCGCAGCTACGATGGCAATATGGCGATTTTGCCCGTTTGGAAGGCTTGGAGTCGAGTACACAATGAGGTAATATACACTAACATTTACGCGATTTTTTTTTTTTTACTATATACATACACAGTTACATATGTAGTTAAACGTGCAAACATACATGCTTTAATATCGCGCATTCAAAGCAATGTTTTATATCATTAGTAGTTCTCGGTAGCGCCATGTTCGCTGGTACCTGTCTGTGAGTCGTGATTATATAACGGTAACAAACACGAATAGTAAAAATATGGAGCCACAGCGGACACGACGTTACACAAACGCGGAAGAGAGGGCCGAGAACATTTGCTTTATTGAGGTGTTTTGGCATTAATCAAAATCTTTTATTAGAAACACTAAATTCACATGCATACATACATATGTATGTATGTATATGTAATAGGCGCTTAAGGCTATCCCCCACCTAACCCCCATTGAACTTCATCTAACAGAGATGGATATGAATTCGGCAGCTATACTCGGAGAAAGGGCGTGCACTCTAAAAAAAAATTGTGTAGATTTCCTAGCTAAAAGGTAGGTTACTGATTTCCTACCTTATTATTCGCGATATTACATGCTCGATTATTCAACGAATAGTTGGTTTAAATTTCGGACTTTTTAGAGTGTAATATAGGTGCTGTGGTGTGCGTAAATTTACTACGGCAGTGCGTACAAGCTACAGAATATACATCTGCTGTTTGATTTCACCCGTAGAATTGTGTAAAGCCACTAACAAAAAGGATTTTTACACACGAAAATGTGTAAACGAGAAAAATACATATTCATCGTGTAAATTTACCAAAAAATTTTAAAAATAAACAAAAATATACTCGGTTTATAGTTGCATTTTTAAACAGATTTTTTAGAGTGTGGTGTAGAACGAGAAGCTTCGATCACGGCTCAATCGTTAGCGAGATATAATTCAAAAATCGACGGACTCTATACAACCCACTACTAACTGCAATAGTGACATACAGGTTTTATTTTTTAACTGAAGCGAGTGTAGCACAAACTAAATAGTTTTTAAAGGGATCAACAACTTCCTCTGCCCTTATGGGTCTAAGTTGAGCGTTGGTGCGTTGGTATCGGGCTGAGAGCCTACTCCTGTGAAAGCGGCGTCACTTTATCTCTACGAGGTCTGTAAGATCTTATTTAGGTTAGTCGAAAGAACTGGAATACCAGACTTTACCATATACGCAACGCTATAAACATATATTAGCAAATCTTACGATTTGTTTTTTTAGTGTCACTTCCTTTTCTCGCTCAAAAAAAAACCCTAAAGCATTCTTCTTGCATATATTTCAATCAATGGAGTCCCAGAAACAAGTAAACTAAAAAATAAATCAACCATTTAACCAATTTTAGCCTTAAAACGTTTATTTAGGCAAAAAAAAAATACCGAAATTACTAATTTTTTCATTGTCCTCCAAAATATTACAATTGTATTTTTTTTATAATTTTGGGAAGTTTTTAAATAAGTACAATGTTCATATTGGGGGCAATGGACGTTGGCATGATTTTTATACCCGACCGCACTTGTGCACAAGGGTATATTAACTTTGTTCGCACAACGGTTGCTTGTAACAGCCAAAACAAATCGAGATAGATATAGACTAATGTATACATAAATGCTCGGAATGAAACGAGAAATTGATTAAGCCATGTCTGTCTGTCCGTCCGTCCGTCTGTTCGTGTACATGATAACTCGAGCAGAAATTGAGATATCTTAGCGAAATTCGGTGTGCCAGTTATTCAAGGCAGTTTAATATTGAAAATCTGTTAAAAGTCTTTGAAATCGGGAAATAACGACGCCCACCTGCCATATAACGTTAATTTACAGAAACACGAAAACTGCGATAAATCGGTAGCTACTGGAGCTAATTCACTTAAAATCGATGATTGCAAAAAAAAAAAAAAAAAAAA